TGAGAAACCAGAGGAGGTCCCTGGGCCAGACTCCTGGCCCTGCCTCAACTTGCTGCTTCTCCCACAGCAGGGAGAAGGACAACAGACCACAGACCTAAGTGGCCACTGCAGAGTGTGTGGTTGGTGTCTCCTGGGGCAGGCACCCTCTGGGTATTTCCCTGCTGCCCACCAAACACCTCACTTGGGAGCACTTTCTCAGTCGTGCTGGGGCAGCTGCACCCCATGGGATACCAGAAACAACCGCTCATCCTCCCTCCACTGGGCTCATTCCAGCATCAGTGTGGGCAGGTCCTTCTCAGCCATCTCCTTGCAACTGGAAAGCATCTCTCCTTGCCAGGACTGAGTGATGGCCAATCCCAAATAACACCCCAACAAGTCCCACTCTTGGTCCCTTGGGAGGAAGATTTGTGGGGCTGAGCAAAAGGCTTCCCACACAGGCAAGAGCCCATACCCATGCAACAGCTGGCTGCTGGTATCTGCTGGTGGTGTAGAAATAGTCCTTCACGTATTTCCTATAAAGCTTCTGCCAAGTGCATGTAAAACAGCACACAGCTGTGTCAGGGATGGCTGGAAGAGATTTGGGGTGCAGGGCTGAATCCATATGACCAGTAGGGGACATGGATGTGTTCGACCAGGGGAGAATAAGCACTCCCAGCAGGCCATGCTCCAGACCAAGGAGTCAGAGCATGTCATGCCTGTTCCTCAGGCATTACTGGTCACCATCATGAGTCCTTCTTCCTCCAGGAGAGGAAATAACAACCCAAAGACAGAGATGGATTCACCTGGAGCAGAGCCAGACTGGGAGCAGAGGGCAACAATAAGGAGAGCAATAATGTTCAACCAGAGAGACCTTCATGGTCCCGTCAGGAACTAAGCAGACATACAGACCATGTTTGTGCTTAGCACTGATCCATCTAGTACCCACTTTCTACAGGGAAGCACCAGTGATGGGACATATAAATGGGTGGGTTTAGGAGAAAGGTTTCTTGAGTGACATGGAGCTGCCAGAACATGGCCAGTGTAGGTTAGAAGACAGAACTCAAAGAGGCTGAGCCGTGAGGCCAAGTTCAAGCCATCAGTTATCAAAGAGCTGCAGAGAGAGGCCGTGTCAGGATGTACATCCCTTAATAGAGCAGGTGCTTCAGCAACGTTGGCTAGAAATAACTACAACAGCACTCCTCATGTTGAGGAGAATGGCTGAGAGCAAAAGGAGTAAAGAACTGCCCTGTGGGGGCTGATGGAGGGGGCAGCTACAGAATCAGGTTAGGAACAGGGGCCAGCAGGGACACAATGCAGCCGTCAGGTCTGAAGGTCTGCATGGCTCATCTCCCTTCCCAGGGCTTCTCCAGCTTCACTGGGAGAAAGGGGACAGCCACAGGGTTCACGCTCACAAAAAGACCAGAGAGAACCAGGATAACAGGTGCGTTGCCCATAGCATCATGAGGGTTTTCTGACCTTCTGGGTGCCTTCTGCCACAGCAGGCAGTGAAGGAAAAGCCTGTGGTTCATGGGGTCCAGAAAAGTCAACCTGCCAGGCCCCACAGGAGCAGCTGACCTTGGCTTTTGTCCACCTCTGTAAGCACATGAGAAGTCTGATGGCTGAGCAATGGTCACCTTCCAGCAGGCAACTGGGGAGCTGAACTCTTCCCTTGCCTCTCCTCTAGACTCTCATTCCTTTGGCTCAGATCTGGCTGGTGAACCACCTGGCCTTCAGGAGTCCTGACTTGCATCTTGAGACTCAATACCTGGCTCCATGCTTGTTTGTGCTCCATGTCACGCACACAGTCTCATGGTAGAGCTCATCCCAACTGTCACCCCATTTTGCAGCGCAGATGTCCCTAAACTGCTTGCAGAGCAAAGACACCTGCAGGAAAGGGAGTGTTGTGCTGTCAGAGTCGATGTGGAGAAGAGTGTCGGGGCCAGGGACTGATCTATAGCTGAGACATCTCTTGCAGATTTCTGTGCAGCAGGCAAGAAAGGGCTGGTGCTGCCCCAGGCCTCAAGACAGGACCATCACGAGCAGCTGATACATTCCCTGGATTCAGCAGTATCTCTCCCCACAGCAGCTATCCCAGCTTGTCCGAATGTCCCCCTGCCTGCCCTTCCCTGCCCAGAGCTGGCAGCAGGTGAGAGGCTGCAGGCAGGCTGCTCCCTGCACGTTTGACCCCTTGGGCTACGATTTCTCCTTTGCTCTTACAGCACCCCGCCATGGTGTTGCTCCCCACCAGCCCCATCCGCATGGGCCAGCAGGGACAGCCAGGTGGTGCAGGCAGGCATGGGAGCCCCTGGCTGGTCTGCCATGGTCCCCACACCTGCCCTCATGGTGCCTGGCTCATGCCAGGGGAGATGGGTCTGGGACAGCGGGGAGCAGGGCTCCTGGAGCAGGCTGGCTTGGCTGCTGCTTCTGCAGCTTCAGGAAGGAAACCGAAACCAGAAAGGCTGGAGAGGGAAATTCCCGCATGAGCCTGGGCTTGTGGCCAGGGACTATCCAGAGAAGAGCTGGCTGCAGTGTCGAGTCCTTCTGCCTCTCCAGCCTGTACCCTGCTCCCCAGTCCTGGGGCAAACCTCAGACCCCCCCCAGCCTTCCCTTTCACCACGACATCCATCCTCCATCCTCTCGCACTGCATGGAGCCCCAGATCAGGGACTACATTGGGCTCCTGCAGTTCCTCTGCAGCACCAGACTTGGCTTCTCAGCACAAAAGGTGACTGAGTGTACATCAGGTGGGGAGGGGTCGAGATGCCTTCAGCGGTAGAGGAGACCCCCAGCACCCCCTTGCTGGGCTTCTCACCTGCCCACCCATGGGCAGCGGCTCCTGTCCATCCACCCCATCTTGCGGTGGCCACTCTCTGCTCCTGTGTTTCACAGCAGATTGGGGAAGCCCTGCTCAGGTTACAGCCCTCTGCAGATTTTTGTCTCTCTCCCACGATAGTAAGCCCTGGCCATAGAGTGGAACGAGATTTTTTGCAAACTTGCTGACCCACCTTGTCCCTGCTTGGACCTGACCCTCTCTGCTAGGACCCTGCTGTGCCAGGGTAGCACGGGGACTCTGCTGGGGGTGAGTAAGAGCCTGTGCCTTTCCCAAAGCATCCTCCCAGCAAAGCGGTCAGGAGCCATCCCCATGGAGCTCGAGAGGAGCCCTCCACATGGACCCTATCACCAGCGCTATCTCCTGGGACACAACATGGTGCCTGGGCTGGGTCTGCCCTCTGCTGGGATGCCGGTCCTTGGGTGCCCCATGAGCCCTCCTGCCTGCAGCCAGCTTTCCAGCCTGGAAGACACAAGACTAGAGGGAAATCACAAGACAACGCAGAGGTGCTTTCCCAGCCTCAGGGCTGCCAAGTCTGATCTATAGCTGCAGAAAAAAATGAAACAATAAGAGAAAGGCTTTTTTTGCATTAGGAAGAAGAAATACCATCAGGAACAGGATGGCTGCAAGGCCAAGCCAGCTCTGGGTAACTGTGCTATTGGGAACATTTCTTCTAGCGTGCAGAAGCAGAGGAGTGCTGAGCACGGTTGCAATGGGCAAGCTGTGCCCAGAACTGTGTTTTTACCCTTGGGACCTGCTCCCTCCCATTCATGTTCCCATGCAAAGGCACATCCTGGGAATGACTGCAGTAGGTTTGCTGGTGGCTGTTTTACCCCTGCAGCATAGCTGAACCCTTCCCTTTGTTTTACAGGTGGGAAAGTGAGGAACAACCCCCATTGGGGTGGTCAAAAACAAAGCTGGGATCCCTGCCCCTCTCCAGGCAGTACTGTTGGGCTCGGGAAGACCCAGCTGCATGCGGGGTCTGGCAGGCAGAGATGTGGTTATGTCTTGGAGGAACAGATATGTATGAGCAGGGACACCGCGGGGCCGCTGACAGTGTGCGTGTGGGTGCCTGTGCGAAACACTGCTGCTTAGCTGACAGAAATGACTAGCAGGTGTGGGTATGGACAGGGAATTGGCCCTGCTCTGCACCCCAGCACCCTCGGCATGAGGGTGGACGAGCAGCTCATGAGCCCCAGGTACCTGCCAGCTCCCAGGGCAGCCCCTGCACCGCAGCAGCTCCATGCCCTCTGCTTCCTCCCATCTGACCATGAGCCGCTCTCCCTGCTGCACCCCACAAAGCCTCTGCCAGGATTTTACCCCTTACAGCAATGTGTCCCATCACCACCCCATTGCACACACAGCATGCCTAGGGACCAGTTTGGGGTGCAGTCTGTGGGGCTGGGACCGGCAAGCAAGTATATAGGACATGCCTGGGGTGTGTGAAGAGCATATTCATTTATGTAAAAGGCCCATATGTATGTGCAAACATGTCTAATTCTGTAGAGGATGTGGGCGGCAGGGGTGTATGTGGTGGGGGAATGAGATGTCAGAAGATATTCATATGTCTGCAGTATGGAAACTTTATGGTTTTGCCTCAACCCATTCCCCATCATCACATGTCATATAGACTGTGCAGATAGGCTTACGGTGAAGTTCTGTCTCTGTGCTGGTGAACACCACACAGAGGCACATAAAGGGAAAAAAAGCAGAGGTTTTGTCCAAATCCTTTATTCTCCAGAATCATGATTTCACCCATGTAAGCCAGGGCTACCCGTCATCCAATGCTGAGACTGTAAGCCACCCTCCCATAAATACCCTCCCTGCCACCCTCCCATAAATAGCATTATTATCCACAGAAGAAAGTACTGCCTATACCATATGACAATTACTTAAATAATTTAAAATAATGCAAGAACAATAGAGGTACAGTCCCATGAGCCTCCCCAGGCCACAGGCGGAGGTGTCAGGGCAGAGGGATGAGGCTGCAGACTGGTCCATGCAAGCTGGGGGCAAGCAGTAGCACCCCAACACAAGGTGTCTCGTGGTGTCCTTCCAGCAGTCCCTTGGAGCTGCCTGCAGATGACATGGGCTTGTGCAGCTCCTGTTGCCCCAGTGTCCTGCTCCATTGCAGGAGCTCAGGATAACGCAACTTGTGCATGACAGCAGTTACGCTTGCCATCTTGCTTTTCTCAGTTCTGCTTCAAATTTTGCAGGTAATTTTGAACCCAGGTGTCGCTGGGATTGGCACATACCTGGCGCCCTTTCTTTGTGATGAACCTGTGGAACAGGAATGACATATTAGATCTGTGCTCAGACCTGGATCCCAGCTTTGGGGTATTGCAAGAGGTTCTCCCCTGTGCCCTAAGCTGATGCTGTGATTTCCCCCACTCCCAGCCCTTTTCCCACACTGCCTCCTCAGCTCCTGCAGGAACATCCCTGGGCATCCCCACAAGAGCACCTCTGGCAGTCCCTGTTCAAGCCCCTTTCCCTTGGGGTTCTCCTCATCCTGCTCTGTTCCCACAGACCCCCATGCCCATGACTACCCCGCAGAGCTGGTCACTCACATGCGCACACCCCACAGCAGCTGTCCGCACACTGCCCCAGCTTGTCTGCACGCAGGAGTTAGGGCTGGTACTTACACGATGGCTGGCAGGGTGCAAGTGGTGCTGGTGCTGTAATAACGCAGGATGAGCCTCTGCGGGAGTTTGTGGTGTGTGTAAGAGAAGCAGCAGATTCGGAGGTCGGATCCAGCTGGAAGAGGCAAAGAGAGACAATGCAAGCATGTGCTAGGCTGTGCATTGGGAGCAGCCAGCCCATCAGCTCAGGGAGCTGTGCTGGTGGGGAAGGGAGTGAGGAATGAGAGAATAATTAAGTTTGAAATGGACATTAGGGATCATCTGGTCCAATGCCAGGAACAGTATTGTCAGATGCTGGGGGAAATTCCCACCCAGTCGCTGCTCAGAGCTTTGTTTCCCCACCTCCCCCAGCCCCAGGGCAGAGACTGAAGTCCATAAACTATAACCAGGAATAAGTACTCTGAGCCCAGGGTGGCTGGACGGGTGGACAGATGATGGATGGATGGATGGATGGATGATTTTCTAATTCTGGGGTTCCTACATGTAGCTGATCTCAGTGCAGAGTGGAGAGTGGTACAAATGGTGAAAAATTCCCAGTAATCTGCTAGGGGAGCTCAACGGAGAAATGATAATGAAGGCTTAGATCTGTTCTTCCTTCACAAATGAAAAAGCAGGACTCACCTGGGCCAGAGAAAGTTTGGGAGCAAGAGGCTGCAATGAGGAGAAGAGCAAAAACGGCTGCAGAGACCTTCATCTTCCCGTAGGGTGAGGGCAGTCGGAGCAGGACTAGAAGCTCTGGCAGATGCAGCTCAGACTGCAGCAGCTGGATTCAGTTCCCTTTTAATAGGGAGTCCTGGAGGCAGCCGGGAGAAGCCCAAGTGGAAGTTCCAGAATGATGACAGAGGATGTCACGAAAGTGAAACAGCCAAAGGGAATTAGGAAAAAAAAAAAAAAAAGAGAGAGAAGTCAGAAAGACTGGGATTTTGTTCACACTGGAGCCAAGTATGTTGAGCTCTGACTCAGTGCTCATTTTCGATTTCATCAAATCAAAAGGAAACTAAAATGTGCCAAGTGGCATGGCCACAAAGAGGAGAACTACTTATCTGAACTGCAGGAAGGATTTTCCCTGTGAGTCTGTACAGCAAAAGACACAATGTTTGCCTAAGATTATGCAACTCTGGGAAAAAAATAAAACAAAGCATGCTCGTGCTGTTATGTGTCGGGTATTTATCAAAGGTTGCTAACTACAGCACATGGAGTTGAGGGGTGGCTGGACTGCAGGCTCCGTGCTACCCAAAGCCCTCTGCCCCCACCAGTCCCGTAGTGTTTGGCTTGACGTGGACCAGCAAGGAGCTGAGGCTGGAAGTACCCCTGGAGTTCATCCAGTCCAGCCCCTGCTCAAAGCAGGGTCAGCTGGGAAGGCTGTCCAGGACTGTGTCCAGATGGGCTTTGAATATCTCCAGGGATGGAGACTCCACAACCTCTCTGGGCAACCTGTTTCAGTGTTCATAATAAAGTTTTATCTGGTGTTTAAATAGATTTTCCCATTGCCTCTTGTCCTGTCACTGGCCACCACTGAGAAGAGTCAGGCTCCATCTACTTTGCCTGCCCCCCACACATTGATAAGATCTCCCTGAGTCTTCTCTTCTCCAGGCTGAACAGTCCCAGCTCTCTCAGCCTCTCCTCCTAGGAGAGAGAGAATCACAGAATCGTTTAGGTTGGAAAAGACCTTTAAGATCATTAAGTCCAACCATCAACCCAACACCACCCTGCCCCCTAAACCATGTCCTGAAGTGCCTTGTCTATGCGTTTTTTGAACACTTCCAGGGATGGGGACTCCACCACTTCCCTGGGCAGCCTGTTCCAATGCCTGACAATCCTTTCAGTAAAGAAATTTTTTCTAATATCCAATCTAAACCTCCCCTGGCACAACTTGACGCCATTTCCTCTCATCCTATCACTAGTTACTTGATAGAAGAGACCAGTACCCACCTCACTACAACCTCCTTTCAGGTAGTTGTAGAGAGCAATAAGGTCTCCCCTCAGTCTCCTTTTCTCCAGACTAAACAACCCTGGTTCTCTCAGCTGCTCCTCATAAGACTTGTGCTCTAGACCCTTCACCAGCTTCGTTGCCCTTCTCTGAACACGCTCCAGCACCTCAATGTCTTTCCTGTAGTGAGGGGCCCAAAACTGAACACAATATTTGAGGTGTGGTCTCACCAGTGCTGAGTACAGGGAGTCGATCACTGCCCTGCTCCTGCTGGCCACACTATTTCTGATACAGGCCAGGATGCCGTTGGCCTTCTTGGCCACCTGGGCACACTGCTGGCTCATATTCAGCTGGCTGTCAACCAGCACCCCCAGGTCTTTTTCCACCAGGCAGCTTTCCAGCCACTCTTCCCCAAGCCTGTAGCATTACATGGGGTTGTTGTGATCCAAGTGCAGGACCCAGCACTTGGCCTTGTTGAATCGCATACAACTGGCCTCAGCTCATCCATCCAGCCTGTCCAGATCCCTCTGGAGACCCTTCCTACCCTCGAGCAGATCAACACTCCTGCCCAACTTGGTGTCCTCCGCAAACTTACTGAGGGTGCGCTCGATCCCCTTGTCCAGACCATTGATAAAGACGTTAAAGAGAACTGGCCCCAAAACTGGGCCCTGGGGAACACCACTTGTGACTGGCTGCCAACTGGATTTAACTCCATTCACCACTATCCTCTGGGCTCAGCCATCCAGCCAGTTTTTTACCCAGTGAAGAGTAAACCTGTCCAAGCCATGACATGCCAGCTTCCCAAGGAGTATGCTGTGAGAGACAGTGTCAAAGGCCTTACTGAAGTCCAGGTAGACAACATCCACAGCCTTTCCCTCATCCACTAGGTGGGTCACCTAGTCATAGAAGGAGATCAGGTTCGTCAAGCAGGACCTCCCTTTCATGAACGCATTTTGGCTGGGCCTGATCCCCTGGTTGTCCTGCACATGCTGTGTGAGCGCACTCAAGATGAACCACTCCATAATCTTCCCTGGTACCACGGTCAGGCTGACAGGCCTGTAGTTCCCTGGATCCTCCTGGATGCTCCTGTCCCTTAATTATCTTCGTGGCCCTTCACTGGACTCTCTCTAGTATGTCCTTATGTCTCATACTGGGGAGCCCAGAACTGGACCCAGCACTCCAGGAGTGCCTCACCAGTGCTGAGCAGAGGGGAAGGGTCACCTCCTTGACCTGCTGGCAATGGTCCTCCTAATTCAGCCCGGGAGCCTGTTGGCCTTCTTTGTGGCAAGGGCACCTTGCCACTCTTGTCCAGTCTGGTGTCCACCAGGAGCCCTGGGTCCTTTTATCCAAACTGCTTTCCAGCTGGTCAACAACAACATACACTAGTGCCTGGGGTTGTTCCTCCACAGGGGCAAGACTTTGCACTTCTCCTTGTTGAACTTCACGAGCCTTTTGTCAACCCATCTCTCCAGCCTGATGAGGTCCTTCTGGAAGGCAGCATGTCCCTCTGGCGTGTCAGCTGCTCCTCCCAGCTTTGTGTCATCTGCAAACTTGCTGAGGGTGCACTTTGTCCCATCATCCAGGTCATTAAGATATTCAACAGTACTGGCCCCAGTACTGATCCCTGGGGTTCCCCACCGGTGACTGGCCTCCAGCTGGACTTTGTGCCATGGATCACAACCCTCCAAGCCCAGCCATTCAGCCAGTTCTCAGTCCCTGTCACTGCCACTTATCTAATCCATACCTCACCAGTTCGCCTGTGAGGATGTTATGGGAGCCTTACTAAAGTCAAAACAAACAACATCCACTCACTCCTCTGCCCTCATCCACCTGGGGAGCCATCTCATCTTTGAAGTCTACCAGGTTGGTGAGGCATCTGACTACTCACAGTCACAGTAACAGTCACAGGCCTCCACAAAGCAATCAAATGGCAGGATCTCACCCTGCTTTGGAGGGTCTTTGCAAGCGGGAGAGTCTTTTGCCACCTCAACCTCAGCCCCCAGGGTATCAGTGAGTTCTCTGGAAGGGGTGGTTTGTCACACTTGAGGTATTTTACCAGCCTGAACTGCTCCTTCCAAAAGCTCCCTTGAGTACAAGATGGCTTTTCTGGCCAAAAAGGTGAGAAATGAGTGGTGAAGAACCTGCCTGGCGTGGGAGAGACTTTCAAGCCTTTGCAGGTTGCTGGCTCGAGGCAGCTCCTGCCTGGGAAGCAGGGCAGAGCAGCAGCTCTGCAGGGAGAGAGGTGACCTGGGGCTTCCAGACGTCCTGCCACAGCCTGGGGTGCAGCTGGAGTCGAAGCCCCCCTCCACTGCAGAGAGGATCCTCAGGCCTGTGGGTGGGCTTCTGGGCCTGGATTTTCATCCCCAGAAGTACAAATCCCCTGCTTGGCTATCCTGGAGCTGCAAGTGAGAGTAGTGGAGACACTGTCCTTCACAAATTGGCTTGTCTCTGGCAGAGACAGAAAGAAGGTTCAGGGCTCCTGAGATAGGTGATGATCTGCTCCTCCTCACACTTACCCCCCCAGGGAGGATTTCTTTTGCACTCCTGCTTCCTTGCATGGTCTTATCCTGCGTTACAACCCAGGACACTGGTGCTGTCGGCTGTGGCAGGCTGCAGGCTCACTCTGCAAGTGAGCAGAGACATCTCCAGAGTGGCCAAGAATGTGCTTTTATTGGGGCCAAAGACTCTGTAAGTCCTGACGTGGGTATTGGGGAAGGTGTGGGATTTTGCCAGATTCATAGCAAGCCCTGGCAGAACCAGCTCTGCTTTCCCTGGGTAAGTCTGAGCAGCTCTGGGCAGAGGTGCATGGCAGAACAAGAAGTGGCTCCAGCTTTTGGCTGAATTGCTGCAGAGCAAAACCAAATGATGGCTTTTTGCCACGGAAATAAATCATGCAGAAACCAACAGTGGGAGTTTTATGTTCTTCTGTGCTTGCAACTCACATGCTAGTGTCTGCATGGGGAAGTGACAAATGCCGGCTGCCGGCACTGTATTGCCGGGTGAGAAAGGTTGTGGCTGCAGAAAGACAGCTTTGTGGCTAACACCAGCCAGAGACAGCTTTGCTCATGGCAACTTCACAGCTTCTGCTTTCCAGCCTGCTGCCTGCAAGGAGCAAGCCACAGGGCTGGTGGCCCACGCGGTGCCATCTCGTTCGCTACACAGAGCACCGGGGTGGTGGGGAGGTGTGATGGGGGTGTGAGCCCTGAGATGGTCAGTGAAGGAAAGAAGCCATCATTTACTGCTAATGAATTTGACAGAGCTGGAGGAGGAGGGTCTGCAAAGAGCTGCTGCAGCTGCAGTTGCTTGGTTGTGTCATCAGCACAAACCACTTAGCGCTTACAAAACTGCCCTTTGTCAGCTGTGATGTTGTTTCCACCAGAGTGCTGAGATGCCTCCTGGAAGGGGGGTACCTCTCCCTCCCCAGCTGCTCCTCTGCACTGCTGACCCCCTGCCACAGGACTCTGGCTTTGAGTCACCAGCTGCAACCCTGGCTGCAACCCCGGCTGCATGCTCCTGCCAGGCTGCTCCCAGAGTAATTCACCCTCCTTGACTTCCGAGGCCAGCTTCTGTTTTCAGTTTTCTGTTTCTGTGCACTGGTTTTCGCTTCTCTGACAAATCCCAGAGCCCTCTGCTGTCACAGTTCCTGCAGTTTAAGTATTTATAAGCTGGCGTCTCTCAAGCTTCCTTTATTATTCCTGGAAATGAGCCACTTTTTATCATTTTAGCCTCACCCAGACTGGGGCATGAGATTTGTTTTGGTGCAG